AAAGAAAAGAGAAAAAGGGAAAGACATAACAAAAGGAGAAAATGAAAGAAAGAACAAGTTGGAAGGGTGAATCACTCTTTCAGCCACACCCCCCCTCCACCCAGTGTCTCTCCTGCCTCCAAATTTGGGGTGAACATAATTTGAGGCTTTGAGGCCACATCAGTGCAGGGACAGTGGATTGAAAGGTTGGAAAATGAGAGAAAAAGGAAAATGAGTAAAAATAAGAATGAATAGGATGAATGAGGGGTGTGCCCCTTGTGCTTAGGCCCATTCAGCACAAGGAACACAGGATGCTCTTTTATAGTGATAAACACTAGAGCCCGTGAGGGATGTGATGAATGGTAATAAAAAATAAATATGGGGGGCCAATATAATGACATAGTCACAACTGGGGAAGAGCTTTTAGGGAGACCCCAGTTAAGACCATGATCAGTGAGATTAGGAATCTCACATGCTGGTGATAAGGAAGCAGAGCCACACACCGATCCACATGGAGATCTGGAACGCCCTCCACCATGCGACGGCCAACTGTTTGACTGCAAGGAGGACATGGTGGACTACGTTTCCAAAATGAGGATTTCGCAAATTTTGTCACTTGCGAAATACAAAGCAATTGAGGAAAATTTGGGATTCTCGCTCGCCGAACAGGGCCGTAGTGTATGTTAATAGGGATGCTCAATTTTGACGGAATTTTCCAGAAAGGACCAGTGCTGGTCCTTGCCCGTCGGTCTCCACTAATTGCCGGGGACCAGCAACGACCAGCAACAGCCCAACACTTGCTGGTTCCTTGTCAGATTCGACGAAATCAAAAATATTTTCTTCACCCCAAGCTGCCATCACGCTCTGTCAGCTAGGAGAGTTCAATTTCAATTATAAATTCCACAAACTTCCGGCAACGCGTTGCCGGAGGCGAGAGACAAAATTGAGGATCCCGAATATTAATATTAGAGGCTCCAACTCTTCTGCCAATGCCAGTGGTGTGTGGTGGGTCTTGCATTCTGGATGCCCAATGCCCAGCGGTGCGCCATCGATGCCAACGTTGCTGCATTTGCCGAAAATGAACACGGGCTAACACGCAACCCGCAACTGGGAGCCTGGGGACGAACTGCCCCTGCGTCCCGCGCACTCATTTTTATGAGAGATTTCCACCACACTGGCGTTCTGTTAGTTAAATTTTACTGTTATCCAAATCTGGAAAATCCCAGATTGGGTTAGGATTGCGGTTCCCACCAGGTAAACACCAGGTATCAGTGCAGGCAGTGATCGATGTGCCAAGGCGGCTGTCTTTTTCTTTATGAACCTTTATTTTTGTTTACTTCTCTTGGTTGAGCTGCCTCTTTTGGCTGGTTGAGGGCGAGAAGACGGGCCAGACAGGCTGATGGGATGCCTAATACTGCGCAGACGGCTTCAGCAGCTGGTTACTGTAATAGTATCTCCAAGCGCATCGTGGTTGTACTTTGGTGAGCTAGCATCACTGCTTACAATATCTTGTTGCTTTTTGTTGTATATCTTACTGCTGTTGACTCTCACTCTTCCATACACATATGTCACACATTTAAAAACATAGAAAAACAATCTGGCTAGGAGTTTGCTCCGCCAATATTCCACCCTCCTCTTAATCTGGAAAAAAAATGTTTCCAACATGTGGGAGGAGCCTTCAAAGTCTCGTCCTACAGTACTCATACCATTGGGACAAAGGATATTGAGTTCATTCACTGTAGGATAGTGTCATTTTTGTTTGAAGTATGGTTGAAAAAGAGAGACAACCAACCAGTGGTCACCATTAGAATATTGTTGCAGTGCAGGCAGCGGGACACATCAAAAACAAGCAACATTTCAAATCCTTGTTCTCCAGCATATATTTTCGTTTGGGTCTATGTAAGCCTTCCCATTTGCAAAGCCCAAAATGGTTTTCTTCAACCAGACTGTCCAGTAGCGTTCATTCCGCAGAGTTTGCCAACTGGCCCAGGTTTTGACCGTGCTTGTTTTTGTTTTCTTCTTTTTTTTTCTTCCTTTACTGATTTTCTCCCATACACATACCAGAGACAGGGTTAGATGCCCTACACCCCAAAAACAAAAGCTTGAGGTCTCTGGTGGGAACTACTTTCAGGCTAAAGTACGAAAAGTGGAGTAGGAGTACTCTGGAGGAGTTGTTGAGAGGTGGGAGGGAAGCAGGAAGCGCGTGTTCGGCAAAGCATTTGAGAGGCTGGCTGACCAATCTGGTTAGCGTTGACGCCGAGAACAGTTATTGTGTGAGTGCATGAGTACACTACTACTGTAAGTTGTCATGCAATTACAATATCGACCATTTGCGGTGAGCGAGTACGTAAGAATGACGTCGGGTGGAACAAACTATGGCGGGGACTACTTGTATTAGTATATCCTATTTCCGGGCGCCGATGGGCGGGTGCCACCCTTTTAAAATTGACTATTACCACGCCCACGAGGGAAGGGAGGCAGGCGATGACGACCATGACGACAACGCCGTCGACGCCGACGCCAGGCGCCGCGGCAACAGCAACAGCAGCAGCCGCAGCAGCAGGAGCCAAACATCCCTACTCCTCCTCGTCGTCCTCCTCCTACACGAAGCCCACCCTCGTGCGCCGCCGCCAGACGCTGTCCGTGCTCATCTGGATCTTCCTGTCGCCCGTCGCCCTCCTCCTCTTCTACTGGTGCCTCACCACGCCGTCGCTCACGCCCTTTGCCCTGGCCTATCTCATCTTCATCGCCTTCGACACCGCCCCAGAGACCGGCGGCCGCAAGATCGGCCTGGTCCGCCGCCTGCCGCTGTGGACCTGGTTCAGGGACTTTTTCCCAATGTCGCTCGTCAAGACGACGGACCTCGATCCGTCGGCAAACTACAGTTGAGTATAATCGGCGAGCGCGGTGCTTGTGCCTTGCGTGCGTTGCGGCGGGGGTCGGTCGGCTCCCGTCGGATCGGTTCGTCGATGGGTGGTTTGGTAGGAAGGTCGATCGATGGGTCCGTCAATCCATCGATCGGACATCCTCGCCGCTCGGGGCTCTGCTGGAATCAAGGATGGCCTCAGCGGGCCTCAGTAGACCCACTGACCGAACTACCCTCACTCCTCCCTCTCCCTCCCTCCACCGCACCGACCAAAATACTATAACATACGAATAACATACAAACACTCACCACACACATCCAGTCTTCCTCTACCATCCTCACGGCATCATCAGCCTGGGCGCCTTCACCAACTTTGGCACCGAAGCCAGCCACTTCTCGCGGCTGTTCCCCGGCATCGACCTGCGCCTTCTGACGCTGGACACCAACTTCCGCCTGCCGTTCTTCCGCGAGCTGCTGCTGTCGCTCGGAATCTGCTCCGTCAGCCGCCAGTCGTGCCAGAACGTACTGACAAAGGGCCCGGGCAACTCGATCATGATCGTCCCCGGCGGCGCCGCGGAGGCGCTCTACGCGTTCCCGGGCACTTTGGACCTCGTATTGAAGCGCAGGCTCGGCTTTGTCAAGCTCGCGCTTCGCCACGGCGCTTCGCTCGTGCCCGTCGTTTCGTTTGGAGAGAATGGTAACATATTTGCCTCCGTGTGTGATTGTGTGGGACCATCTTATCTTTGACTCGTTTCTGCTCACAAACACGCACCTTCCCATCAGACCTCTGGCAGCAAGTCCCGAACCCAAAGGGCTCGACCCTCCGCACAATCCAAGAGACGTTCCAGCGGTACGCGTCCTTCTCCCCCCCGCTGCTCTTTGGACGAGGCATCTTCAGCCCCTTCTCGATGGGATTTATCCCATTCCGCACGCCGGTGGTCTCCGTCGTCGGCAAGCCGATCCCGTGCCCGCGCGTCCCCAACCCATCGGACGAAGAGGTCAGGAAAATCCACCAGCAGTACATGGACGCGGTGAAGGCGCTCTTTGAAGAGCACCAGGACAAGTACGGTAAAAAGGTGACCAACGGCATTCGCTTTGTTGAGTGAATTTTTTTTTTCGTTTTTTTTTTTTTTTTTTTTTTTTTTTTTTTTTTTGTTAGCCCGTGCCCCCCGCTTCCATTCTATAGTTTTGGACCACCCATACCGACCCTGTCGACAGTAATTTCCCAGTTGGGTTCATGCCTATGAAAGTACTATGTGGGATACCCACACATGACCCTTACGATCCTTACTACCATTTTTTCGAAGTATCCTTTTATTTTCGTGTTGTCAACTACCTCTCTGTCCCGCTTCTGCGATCGTGTGCCTTTTTATCATATGCTGCTTCTGCATATTGTGCGTTCGCGACTTGAACCTTCTCTCTCTCTCTTTGATCTCATTATGATCAATTCCCTCCTCGTCTTTTTCCTTCCTTTTTCTGTTTCCCCCTTCTGCAACTGGGTGACGGCACGTGGGTATGCTCCGTGGAAAACACGATCCATATCATTATTAATCTCATGCTTGGGCTAGTGCAGTTTGCTCCACCCACCCTTGCCACCGGCGAAAGAGTTAATTTGCCAGGATGTTCGATGTCGCTGGTTTGGTTGGAGGAACAACACCGCATTTAACATGGCAATATAATCCACTGACTCTACGCGATATTTCGACGAATAGAACATTCTTTGTTATCGCTGATAGAAATTTGTAGGCCTCCTCCTCCTCCTCCATCCATTTCTTCACATCCAGGATTTTCGATAAGTGTTCCTTCTCTGATAGGTGAATCAGCACCTTCCGCTCTGTTGCTGCATTTGTTTGGAAGGTTTACTCTGGCTGGGAGCCTAGGATACGCAGCAAGAGTGACACTAACGGTATTAGGGTCCATCACAAATCGAATCAAGTCCAACTTGATTCGAAAATTTGATTCAAAATTTGGTTCCTATTGCTCTTTTCTCCCATTCAATTTGATCAAAGTATACTGCACCGTGAGGAGGTCCATTTCGGAAAACAAGGCCAAACACAAGTAACCAATTCGATCTGTGCTGTACGGGCCTATGGTGTTATTTTCTGGAACTTCTGGTAAGTTACGACTTGAGTTTTTCTAAATTTACCGAAGTGGTGCCTGTGTAGCTCAGGGGTAGAGCTTTACACTTGTAACCTCGGCAAGGTCTGCAATGTAAGGGTCCAGTGTTCAAATCACTGGTCAGGCAATCGTCGGACATTTTCAATTTAATATTGTGTAGACCCGCAAGCCTCTCTGCTCAACCTGACAAGCGCAATTCATCCAAGCATGAATTTCCTCCGCGATACTGTGACGCAATTCAGTGAAAAACGATGCGTGAGCCGCATATCGGAATCAGATTAGGCCATGTCGCAACCCGAATGTCTCGAAAATCATCGGAATCGCCATATCGTTTTGGCCATAGTTTTGGTTCTTAATGAGCTCTGACTTTACTATGAGTCGTAAAACACATCACTGCTTTAAATATAACGCGTTGTTCTTCTTCTTTCTTTTTCTTTCTTTCCTAATGTCCCCCTAGCTGCCCTGCGAGAAGCAAGCTCATTAATCCCACCAATCTTCACAAATACAAACTTCAATGAATTCAATTTTTTAGAAATTAGATTTGTTTCCCTGAAAACTACCCTTGCCTTATGAATCTCCTACTCTGGCAGCATTGTCTTCTTCACGCCGACCTGTTATTGCGGCTGGACCCTCTGTATCACATCCAAACTGTCACAGACATGACCCAGTCACTTCTACTTGGTGCACCGAACATTCCACTCACATTTTGGAGCTATGCTCACTGTCAAGCTCCGCATATCAAGAACTGTTTACCAAACATCCAGCATGGCATCCTCTCTCCATTTGGAAGCCGCCACCACATCCCACCAATGGTTGGCCACTTTCGCACCTCCAAGTGTTTCTACTGTGTTATTTTTTTTTTTTTTTTATTGTTTCAGCCCCAGAGGGGCTGGCGGGAAGAGAAAGAGCCATCAACAGTGAACCGTAATGGACTACATCCAGGTATCACCTCAGCAAACCCACCCCATGCGCTACGGACTTACAGGGTCATCAGGCATCTCCACCGCACATAAAGCCACAATGATCAAAGGAGAAGGGAAACACACAGAATCAAGAAAATAGAGAAGTAAATCGGAAGGAGGTCAGTGTCAGAGAGGGGAACAGCTGTGAAAAGTCAGAGGGTTGGGATAAGTCCGATTAGGCTACAGCCCATGTCAAGATTGAGAAGTGCAACAGTGGCTCAGTGAACGTCGGTGGGCTCAGCAGGAGATGGGTGACGAGTGGCTCTTGATTGTTGGCGTGAGGGGAGTTGTATTGTGTGGTGAAGCCAGTTAATGCCTGCAACAAGTTTTATGCGGCTGAGGTAGTGGTCAATCCATCTGGAAGAAGCCTTGGTGCGCAAAAGCCAGATGCCTGGGCAAGCGTCAGTGGAGCGCCAGTGACTACATGTGGTGCAGCAAAGTTGAGAGGGTTGTGAAGAGTGTTACGAGTTCTGTGGGATGATGGAGTGGGAGGGAGGGAAGAGTTGATGTTTGGAGAAGACAGTGGGTGAGAGGCTGTGGAACGAGGGTGAGAGGCCTGGGAATTTGGTGGAGGGGATCTGCAGGGCTTGGAGCGCTTGTCAGAGGGCTTGATGGACTTTGACTTCTCCCTAGAGATAGTGTCGTTGCAACAGGGAATCCCAATTAGTCGATGGGCGTCAAGAAAGAGCTGATGGAAAGCAGTGACAAAGGTTTTAAGGACAGAGGCAGCAGGGTTATCACATGAGAATAAGGAGTCATAAAAGGATTGAGGGATGAAGCCACGAAGGAGGGAGGAAAAATTGATACAAGATTGATGATCAAAGAGAAATTCAGGGCGGGAGAGCCAGTAAATGGGATGGGCTTGGGGAGGAGAGTGACCACGAGGTGCAGGAGGAACAGAGGAGGAAAGAGTTTCAGCAAGGGTGTTGCGAATCACCGCAATGGCGCCAGCAGCTGCAGGGCATTGCCAGAGATGCTCTGTGGTTTCCAGAGCGTGGTGGCATCGACGACAGAGCCCATCAGGGTAGAATTGAGGGTGTCGTTGGTGTAGAATTTTTTGGTGGGCAAAGTGTTGCTGAGGATTTGAAGTCAATACTTGCAACGAGCAGAGCCAGGGAGGGTGCCAAAGATGGAAGAGGGTTTAATTCCAGAGTGGAGAACAAGAAACGTGGCTTCCCAATGAACTAGGGCATGGTTGTGGGTGATGTGGGCAAGGCTGAGGTGTTCAGAAGTGCAAAATAGTGAGAGAGACCTGTGAGGAGTTGCAGTTGTTGTTGAAGTTGGCCCAAGACCGGGGTATTTGAGATGAAGGCGATGGCTGGGAGGATCTGTTGTAAGAGGATTGGTAACGAGGTTGGGTTGGAAGTCGGGGGTACAGATGTCTGCTAGTGTTATGAATCACCCTCTGGAAACCTCTGGAACCTTCTAGAACATTCCTTCATGGAACCTTGTGGAACCTTCTGGAACCTTCTTTTGCTTTCCTGACTTGTCTTGTTATCATTGGTATCATTGGTATCATTGTATTACTAATTGCTCTTTCTGGAACTTTCTTTGAGTCTTGACAAGGAACACTCTCAAAAGGTATAAAAGGGGGATGGGGGACCTGTCCCATCCCTCAAGTGAATTATTGTTTCCAATACAATCATCACTCCTCTCAGTTCCTTGTCTGCCTTGTCCTGTCCTGCCCTGTTCCTGACAGCTAGTTTGTTGGCAGCATCGCTGTTGTGTCCACAAACCCAGGAAACTTGTGGAGAGGGGCCAATCCAAGACTGTAGAGTGGCTGCAATGCATGCCCAAAGGGTGGGGTGGGAAGTGGTGTGCAAAAGATGATGGAGGGAATCAGAGAGAGGAGGTGTGTTGAGCTTGCTGTGCGGATGGGGAATAAAGGAGTTTGAGGGAAAGAGTTTCTCAAAGGTGTGAACCACTCCAAGATTGTCAAGTCAAAAAGTGAGGGCAGGAAAAGCTTTGCAGTGATGGTGAGGGCAGCAAGGAGAGCAGCAATTTCAGCAGTTGTGGAACAGGCAGAGAGTGGAGGGAGGGCAAAAGAAAATTCAAAGTTAAGCTCAAGGCAAACAACAGAGCCAGCCATGAAGCCCTCCTCGCGAAGGGAGCCATCAGTGTCAAAGGTCAAGGATGGGTGGGTATGAGCAAGGTCAGCAGGGAGAAGGGGCACATCCATTGGTTGAAAGCAGGGATTTGTGAAGGGAGCTGGATTGAAAGTGGAGTGGCAGGAGGTGAGGAGTGGGAAAGGTGTGGGTGTGAAAACGGTGGTGGGGGAAGGTGAGTTAACAAAGAAGATGGGCTGGGAGGGTCGAGTTGCAGTAGCAGTTGTGCAGCTGCTGATGGGGACTGTGTAGGTGGAGTGTGCAAGGGAAGTTGGATTGTAAGGAGAGATGTGCTTGCTGCAGGGGTAAGAGAATGTGGGGGAGCCAATGGGGCAGCCAAGGCATTGGACCAAGTGGAAATTGTGGTAGGAAGGGTGAAGGCGTTCAGGGAGCCTGTAGTAGTGATGAGAAAGGAGTTGGGGGGTTTGGGACTGTGTGAGTCCAGTTAACAATGCAGAAGAATTTCACTTGTGGTGGGGTCATCAGACGGAAAAAATTGCTGTGGGCAAGGGGGGGATGGTGAAGGGGATTCAAAAAGATGGGTAAAAGGGATTGTAAAGAGGACCATCAGGGCTGTGGTAATAGACTGGAGAGCCAAAGGTGGGAGCAGCAAAAATAAAGGTCTTAATGATGTGGTACACTTCACAGAGTTTGTCAGGGAGATAGCTGTCTTTGTAGGAAGGATTGGTGAGGCGGAGGTCAAAAAGTTGTTCAAAAAAGAAGACTGAGTGTGAACAGAGAGTGGGAAGCACTTTGAGAAAAATGTGCCAAGGAACTAATGAGTTGATGGAGTGAGCGTGAACAGAAAATAGGGGTGGACCAGAGTATTGGAAGGATGTGTGTTGGTTAAAAAGGAGGGGATTGAGAGACTTGGTGAAGTGTTTTTTTGGCTGGGACACAGGTAAGGGATGTGAGAAACTGGAGTTCCAGAGGCCAGGTCAAGTTGGAGGCGGTGCATCATGATACAGCTTATGTGGCCAATGAGAGAGGGGGAGTTCAAGTGAGAGCTGAGGTCAACAATCCTGTCAGAGCAGTATTTGTTGTAAAAGTCAGGGAGGTTATGGGTCATGGGGTGATGGAGGAGGGCATTGGGAAAAGAGGTATCAAAGTCTGTGTCCTAGCAGGATGAAGTAAGAAGAATCCCACTGTCTCCCACCCCTGTGTGCCCCCTCCTTGGATTGAGTTGGAGCTTCTCCTTGGAGTGAGACAAGTTGAGTCTGGTTCTGTTAAGTGGAAATCAGTTCTGATTTAAATTCAACAGACAGCTCTGTACACAAACTGTTCCTTGTGTTTGCCCTCTGTGTCCAACCCCCTCCAACTTAGAGCTTGTCTTTGACAGAGAGGGGGCTTTGCTCCATGATGGTGGCTTCAACAGACTGGAATCTGGCCACTGTCCTCCTCTGAAGTGCTGCACTTAGCGCTGCTCCTGGAGCTTGCTGCCTCTTGCGCCTCCAGCATAGTTACCAGGTTTCCTGTCATGGACCAGAGAACTCTGCACATTCTTTACTAGTGTGACACCTTTTCACAGTTGCCTTTGGTCTGAGTGTGAGAGTCTACTCTTTGTGTGTAGTAAGAGAGTTTAAATCCTCACCGTGGGCTGTGGGTGGCAATTAGCGCAATGACCAGAATACCAATCCTGAAAAGTGAATGTGGGCAAAAGGAGATGTCTAGGGGCCACTAGACAGGACAATGTATTTGGAGTCTTAAGAATCCCAGGAAACACAAAGAAACTCTTCCAAATACATTGTCCTGTCTAGTGGCCCCTAGACATCTCCTTTTGCCCACTTTCACTTTTCAGGATTGGTATTCTGGTCATTGCGCTAATTGCCACCCATAGCCCAGGGTGAGGATTTAGAGAGCACAGTCCCACAGTCAGTTCTGTCTCTGGTCTAACTTGGCTTCGGCCTTGTGCCCCAGATGAAACCCTTCTGTGTCTTGCACCAGAGGATTATGCTTTCTTTTGAGATTGTGCTTGTTTCATGCGTTGGTGTGAGAAACCCCTCTTTTTTGTGTTTGAGATTTATTTGTTTTTTTCTTGGGGTGTTTAAGACTCCAAGCAC